AAAGTAGCTCTGATGACACCATACAGAGGACTGGCAACAATCAGGGTACTTCATTTGTTTTCATTGCGTGAAAGATCAAAGCTACTGCATCTCTAAGGGATGGTTCTGACTCATAAGAAATAGCCTCTGTGTCCTTTAAATTAAGATTCAAAACCCAAACTCATCTGGCATTTTTCAGATGGGAACCTTTTTTATTAGTGTTTTGGATTTCAAACTATTTTGTTTGAAATAAAGACTGCTTGCAGTTTTTCTCCTGTGTGCTGGCTCCACTGGTACCCAGCGGGCGTTCAGGTATTGAGAGCAACACAGAAACGATGTGTGCAAGGAAGGGGTAGCAGCACTCAGGACCGAAAGAAAAAAAATCTTTATTCTCAACTTGTAACTACTTGAAGTCATAAAAACATTTATGTTACTAAACCCGTTAACTTAATCTACATTCAATACCTCACAGAAGAGAGGAGTCACTAGCTCCTCACCAACAGGGGCTGATGGAGACCACATCTCAAGCAAAAGGAGTAACAAATTTGATCTTGTTTTCATTATGAGCATTGCACTTGAACATTTTTAGTTTCAATTATAAAGCAACCCTCTCATCCAAGTCTCTTTTTTGTGCTCAAGAACTTAATTTAAAAAAAAAATCTCCTCCCTCTCTCTGCAATCTTTCCTGGAGTGAAATAATCCTTTAATCTCACATGAGCTAAATTGTCTTGGATTGGATTATTTTATGGATTTAGCAAGTCGTCTCCATTTCACTGCGTTGTTTTCTCCCAGCTTCAACGCAGGATTAGTTTGGGGAAGTACATAAAGCTGTTTCCTGTGGGTGAATTATCGCTGCTGTCTATGAATTCATACGCTAACCTGATTCTGAACTCCTTGTTTGGAGCAAACAGCTCCTTTCCCACATAAAACCAGCAGCTTTTGCCTCAGTGCCCACTGCCCACCAATGCTAGGGCTTAATGGAATGAAGGTGGCAGCTGTCTGGAGTGAGATAGGAGTATAAAAACTTTGAAGATGATCATGGCAAACGCAAGTTTTCCGCTGCAGCCAAGAGGGCTGCTCCCAGATGATCTTTTAGAGTGCAGTTCAGCTGCATGCACAAGTGCCAACGGACCAAGTGAACTCTTCGTACCTGCTCCATTTTTGTTTCAGCCAAAACACACCTTTCTGTTCCTGCAAGTTATGTGAGCGAGCATCACCTTGATTTGTAACATCCAGCCCAGTTCTTCATATAAGGACTGGGATACTGAGCTCCAGCCTTCAATTAAAAAAATAATCGATAAACATTTTGCACTTTCCTCCTTTTCACATCTCTGAAATGCCAGTAAAAAATGGGATTTTTAAACCTCGAGACATTGACAAGATACTGACACGCTGCAGGAAAGGAAGGAGCAAAGCTACTACTTATCTTCCTCATTCCTTGCCAGATTTGAAACGCCTGCTTTCCTACAAAGGGCACCAGGGTATCTTTAGCTAATCCAAGACCACGGAAAACAACTGGCTTATCTCTGGCTCTCAACTTCACTCCATCCTTCAAGGCAACAGGACTATTAAGCATGTGCTACTCTTCTGAAAAAGGCAGCCAAACATTAACCTACCTGCACGTGAAGTGGCCAAACAAAAACCACATTTGGAAAAAAAAATACGAAGACCCTGTCAGGTCACATTAGACACTTTCTCACACGTAAAACCAAAGACGTCCTGAGAGTTCTGGTGAGAGGAAGGGGGGAAGATTTCATTGAATCAAAGACCAGTTTAAAGAAAGATGCCAAAACCGTAAAGAATAAAATCACGGCACAAATTCAACATAAAGTGAAGCTTTGTAAAATCTGAGGGGTGATATGTGTTCACTAGAGCAGGTACCCCTAGGTGTGGTGTACAACAGCCACCAGTTCCTTCTAAGAAAAGGAGTAACCAAACTGACGGAGCCCATCTGCCCAGCCATATCCTGCATCACAGGCCACAGGGCTGCCACAGCCTCAGCGCTTCTGCCTGCAACTGGTGTCGGGGAGGAAGAGACCTCCTGAGGAAGTGGAGACAACCCCGCTGTCTCCAAGTACACGACGTACCACTTCACGTGGGAACCTACTGTCAGCAGAGGGAAGGTGCTGCTAACTGGCAGGCAGATGACAATGCAGCTTCGAGCGTGCGGCTCAGAACCAAGTTTCGCACTGGCAGGAGATGACAGCCTTCAGCTGATGTCTTACTATTACCTCTTTCAGCAGAAATTCAAAGTATTTCCTCTCCTTCCCACTTTTACACGATACCAAGTTTAGCATAATGAACTTTGAAATGATAGCTAAAGAAAAAATATTAGAAAAATAAATTAGTTTTATATTTGCATAACTTCCCAAAGTCGTTTATCCCAAGTTTTCCTCCAGTGGTATATTACATCATGTTGGCAGAGTGTTGGAAACTACAACCAGCACACAGAGTCCAGGAACTCAAGGTACCACATTAGAAATATACCCAGGCTCCCATGGAGGTAACAAATTATAAATGCCTAGAAAACCTGTGGCTGGCTGTGTCAATAGAGGGTTTCCGGAAATAGCACAGGGACTCTCCAGCTGTGTGACTCTGCCTATGCTGTTAGTGTTCTCCTCAAACCAGCACCGTTCAGGAATTACAGACTGATGGTTTCTAACCGAGCACCAGGAGACTCCTGGTACATCCTCAGCCCTTCTTCAAAAGGTAAAATACTGACCCCCTGCATGATTTATCTATGAAAACGTTTTGTTTTCAAAGGAGCAGTGTCAGCAAGCCCAAAGCTGCCATGTAAAACACGCAACGTTGGTTTGAGCCTGCCACGCACAGGGAGCAGCACCTAGTTGCTCTTTCCTAGCCTAGAAAAGGTTAGGAAAGAACCAGCCCAACTCCACCTGCCGCTGCTGCCATCTCGCCTGGATCTCTGCTCGCGTCAGCACGCCCTGGCTCCTCCCGGTCAGCATCTAACTGCACCAAAGAGGGTTACAGCAGCTCTACCAGAGCTGCGTCCCCTTCTGTGACACGCCAGCATCACCGGAAAAACCAAAGCGTAGCTATGCAAGAGGGTGCCCTTCGGAGTTACCTGCCGTGGCTCTGCCTTGTTACCTGCCTCCATCCCTCCTCTTTGAGGAACCTCCTTCCTTACTCTAGGAACGAGGACTTCAGGCTCATTTGCAGGAGTTTGGCTGTTTAGTGTTGGTTTGTTTCACTGCTAAATATCAGAGCCTTGGCATGAAAATGAAGAATTATGGACCTATTTCAACAGCGTGCCAGGCACGTCTATTTGTGCATGTGCATTAAAATGGTGTTCATACAAAATACAACACACAAAGGTCAGAACCAATAGGAAATAAAGTAATGTAAGGATGGCACAAAAGCTCCAGAAAAGGTAAAAGGGCACTGAATGCGGAGTTATTCAAGGCAGCTTTTGGGGGTTTTACTACAATTTCAAGATCATTTCCAATTTTATCTCATAACCTACTAATTTATTCCTCCCCCACTGATCTCAATTTCTCTTTCTGCTAGGTTTAAGAAAAACCACATTTGGAATTTTCTACAGTTACACAATATCTTCGAGAGAGATGTTTGCATTGCTCATATCTAGTTTAAATCCCACATACACTGTTTACTGCAATATTTGCCTCCTCTAAACACCTATGAAGTTGAAAAGGAGCCACTACACATCCATCATCAGAAGCGTGGCTCTCATAATGAAAGATAAAGATCACATTCCAAACTTACTAAGGAGACATAAAAACTGTAATAAAATATTTTGGATATACACTGGGCCACATTTTACCCACAAGCACGAAGGCACTGTGTCACACAAGAACCCTTTGCATACCCCACACACCCCCCCGCCAGCATTCAGCATTTTGGAGATCACCAGAAAACTTTCTTGCATCCCTGCCAAACTTAAATACCTTTTGGTTTCCACCCTACACTATTATAGACTGTCTGTAGTCCTGGAATGCTTTTTATCCCTAAATCAGCTCTACTTCAATCCTCTGACAGGCCCTCCAGCCCATCATCTTACCCTTTGACAAGTACTTCTTCTCAAGAGCAGAGTGCTAACTCGGTATTGAACATACTATTACTAGTCCGTGTGCTCAAGACCTGCTTGTTCTTTCCCCAAAACAACAAACTCACCAAAAAACCCTCCCACACAGTTAGGTTTGGTTTTTTTTTTCCCCCCTCAATTCCACAACTACAGTCGTATCTACAGGAGATCACCAATGTTTACTATCCCATGCTTTCCCCACGCTTCTCACACACCTCAAAAAAACCCAATGAAATTCAGCCCCAGGCAATGATCAGAAATACTATCCCTTAACAGGAGCAATGAGCAGCTGTTTAACCAAAACACCAGCTCTATCCCCAGGTTCTTCAGTAAACACACAGTGATGGACCAGCACCATGGGTTGGTGCTGTTGTAGCGCTGCTTGGTGACTCTGTGGAAGAGCTGTACGTTAATGCTACAGCGACGGATTAGTTGTTTGCTGGCTGTGGGTGAGAAGCGTGTTTCAGAGATGAGGCACAGAAGGGCCCAGGCTTGTTGACGGGAGGAGAATACTGCAGCGATTGGGCTGTGTAGGCGAGTGTTGGGTGGCAGAAAGGAGCGGGATCGGAACAGAGTTTACCTATAGACTGCAATACAATGGCAGAGGGAAGAGACAGACTATTCACCAAAACAGAGTCCTACTGCAACCGCTCCTTCAGGCATCACCTCAGTTAAACCCCAGCTAAAGGCACAGGGTGCCAGAGCTAGCTCAAGTCACATTCTGCTACGCTGCAGCATAAAGGAATTGGGGAAGAGCAGGGCCTAAGCTGGAAGTCGATGTGAGGGAACTGATAGAGATAAATCAGTCTTCACCTGCTCGTCAGTTTATCAAAAACCTACTAAGAAGCAGATGTTTTGAACTAGCCATGCTTTTATTCTATGAAACTATTGCAAAATAAACCCAATTCTTCCAGTCAGTGGCACCTTTTTCATTACAAAATTAAAGAGCAAACCATACCTGAGTCAGAACATCCAGCTGTCCCATAATATGTTCCAAGGTATTTGCAAGACTGATCTCCTCCTCTTGCTGCCCGTGGTTCCCACCAGAATCCTGAGGTTTTGTTTTCTTAAGATGAGCACCACAATTCATTTCTGACTGCTAGAAAAATAAACAGACATAATCTGCTATTGCCATGCAAACAAGTGGAGAAGGGGTTCTGTTTCACAGAGGGTAAGCCGTGAAGAACGGCTTACGTCGGGGCATTCTGTGCTATTCAAAACAGGCAAGGGAGAAAAGGAATCGCTTGTTCTTGCCACAGCTGGAAAAGGAAAAGCTGCTGCAGACATGTCCGCCTTCCCCAGGTGAAAGGGTTTTTTGTTGTCTTCTGGGGGTTTTTGCATGCTTTTGGTTTTAAACCTTCATCAGAAAAGGCAAACCTTAGATAGCAATCTCGAGGCAATGCTGCGAGGTTCAAGTTTTATCTGTGCCAAGAGCTTTGGCAGGCTCATGCGGTGCACGGGCCTAGGCTATACAGGTAAACGAAGACTTAGGGGAGCCACATGGAAGCACTACATCCAAATTCCAAGAATTAAGTAAGCTACTCTGAAAGGAGTCCAATTCCTTCACCCCAAGAGTAAGAGCCTCTCTGTGTTCGGCAGTGGTAAGAAGGCAAGGATGCTGCCCCACAGTTAAGTTTGGCGGAAGCACGACGTTCCAACATGCATTCAAGCAGGCAGTTCTGATTTAGTAATTTTCATTTTGTTTACATCTTGAACTGGTTTTCCCTCCTCAATGAGGTTAAGAACAAGTTTACTTTGAAGTTTCAATTTCAACTATTTTGGTTATGCAAGCTTGAATATTTCATTCAGAATAAATTAAGTTTTCAAAGCACAAATAGAACCCTACTAGAGAACTCATTCTCCTTTCCTGTTCTTTCAAAATGGTATCTTTCTTCTACAACAAACACTATTTACATGATTCACCCGCGTTACCACCAGCAGAAGCAGCTCAGAGAAGTTTATCTAACTAAACAAGGTAGCTAACCGATGAAACAATTGCAGGACTTAAGTTTCTCAATTTGCACTTACAGGCAAGATTTGAATGCAAAGCCAAGATCACAGCACTCAAAAACGTAGTGCTCCATGGCCCGACGCCTGGTGCAGCTCCATCCCGTGTACTTATTACTCACATATACGACTGAAACTTGTAAATGAACAGATCAGCAAGGAACTCTGAAAGTGGTCTCTAAAAGTTCTCCCATGTGTACTTTTTCTAGGGAAGAACCGAAGAGCTGCTTCCATCTCTTCTCTCGCATACACTACTACGAACGCGTTGCTCATCAGCGCCGTCTTGACGTACCTGCGCATCTCTGCCTTTGACACCAGGAGCGTGCAGATGTGCAACTACACTGCAACAAGACTTCAGACCAGCTCACAACTTTACACCCAGCTGCTCAGGGCATTATGTAGATGTACATACAGGTATGTGCATACACACAGAGAAACTATACGTATTTAAAAATAAATTTGTATGAAGGCTTGTGCTGCTGGGAGTCACGGAATTAGGCTGTGGAAAGGTTCCCAAGGCTGAGATCCAGCCCAACAGTTACGCAGAATAAGCAATCAGCAGTGCAAAGAACAGAAACTCAACCACATAGGGACCTAGAGATTGGGGGGAAAGAAAAAAAAGAGAGGCCAGAGCAATAGTAAGCTTGGACAAGAGAACGCTTGCTACTGTCTGCTACCTGCTAGTAAGGGCGAACGCAGCTATCCTCATATAGCCAAGTGCACAAGACCAGCTTTGCATAAGGAGCAGGAAAGGTTTAAAGGATACATTTAACAACTGCTTCCCAGGGTTCACTGTGCTACACCTCAGGCTTGGGATGCAGCTGGGTATCAGGTGGTACCAGCCACACCAGCCTCCACTAATTGGCTTCCTCCCACTTGCTTGGATAATTTGGATAACCTACAGGCCCTAGGCCAACACAGCCCGTGCTCCGGGTCACACTGCACAGCCCCAGCATGGGAGCCACACTCCAGCTACCCACTGTGCTCTGGTAGCCCGAGAGCCACGTGTTGCTCACCGATGCATTGATTTAATCAACCCGAATATGCTCTTGCAGAAATGAGATGAAGCCAGCCTTACAAAGCTGCTATTTGCTGTTTAAATGTAAAAGAAACAACCAACCCCAAAACATTGCTTTTCAATGGCAAACTAGCATTAAAAAGCATGTTTTCTTGTTGTTTTAGACTATCATGTTTTGATGATGTAACTTGAGGCCAGTCAACCACGGCACAGCAGAAATGTGAGTAAGCTAACACTGCATACAACCTGCACTTAAAAACCCCAAATGATGATGAACTATCCACTTCAAAACGCATTAGAACAAGCTGACTCACAGAAGCAGAAAAATGACTGTACAAACATATTTTCTCTCTCTACAGCATATGTCAGACAGCTTTTCATAAAAGGCTGCTGGGTTGAGCTCAGAGTTGATATTCTCTTTGCTACAGTCCACAAGGTTTAAGAGTGTGGAATATTTGCAAGGACAATATTGCACAGATGTTCCTACACCTGATGCTTCAGGGGTCAGGTGGCCCCTCATCATGTCAAGTTGAAGCCAGAGGCAGCAGCAGCCGTTTGTCACTGATGCTATGTGCTGTTCATCAGCTCACAGGGTACGTGCCACCCCTGTGAAAAGCCAAGGAAACCACTTCCACAAAACCCGTTTGGGCTCCTGAGGGCACTCGGAGTGGTGGCAATACCCCCAGGAGGAGAGGTGTATCTATGTTTGAAAAGGGAAGCACAACAGTACGGCATACTGCCCCTTTCCAACCAGAGCTCCTTGAAAGGCTGCTTACAGCCCATCAACACCACGACAACCTGTAGCTCACGCCCTCAGCAATGAGATTCTGAGCTAATGCATCTAGTTAAACGAGGGACACATTCAGCCAGCAAACAGAGCGTGATGTCCGTGTGCTATGGAGAGTGACTTCTGAAAGGGAGGCTCACGCTGACCACAGTCTTGGAATCTTCAGTTCTAGGAACAAGCCCACCCCAACCAGCCTACCCTGCCACGGCAGGTAGGAACAACAAGCACCCAACGGACACACAAAGCTTGGTTTGACATTAATTTTAAAGAGCTGCCAAACATTTTGATGGGGTCAAAGACACTGGAAAGAGACTACAATGCTCAGAGGGACAGGTTTTCTGCCACAAGCACCCACCTGGACTCCGGTCACGGTTCAAACACAGCGACACCGGTTGAAGCGATGTTACAAAGGCAACAAGGCCATCTCCACTGAAGCGTTAGCACAGCTTCCATACTCGGCACTGGGAAGCATCGTGGGGTCCTTCAGGGGAAGCCTTGCCCTTCACGTTTTAACACGAGAGGGAAGTGCTTGGAAACCTTCCCTTAAGAGCCAGACTACAGCTTGTACTTACCCCTGCCTTAATGGCCGGTACACTGGAAGCGCACCCATGTGAGGGCAAACGGAGCTGCCCCCAGACTGAGATTTTATAACATTTTGTAAAAGGGGGTTAAGTCATCCCTGTTTTGGTCCCTAAGAATGAATGAGCCAAACTACAGCCACCCTTCTAATAGCAGTCTGTATCACATGGTGAGCCAGCCACTGGTAATGTAAATTGTAACAGATTGTAAAAAACACTGTAAAAATGTAGAAAGAGCCCCGAAACGTGCATTGGCTCGGTGACAGTCTAAGTACTGATGAGCATCACTACTACCGAGACACCTGCGCTCCCACCCGTCTTCCCTGCACAGCGAAGTGCCAGCTGAACCCTGGGGCCAGGCAGCAGGAACAGCAACAGTGGCAGAAGTTTCATCTCTTTTAGTCAGAGTTCAAGTGTGCCATTTATTCGGCACAACCCAACAATGTATCGCCATTAAATATCTTGTTACAACATCTGCTTATTAAGCACCGGGAGTATAGCGAGGAGCAGCTGAACATTAAAGGAAGAATAGCAGAGCAGTTTCAGAACACAATACAGCTCTCAGTGACAAAGGGAAAACAGAAGTGATTTATTTATAGCAACCACTTAAAGACAGCACAGCACAACTACTTGGGGGAAGGGGAAAATTAATCAGCCTCATTCCAGAGGTCTCTTACTGAGCCTCTTACGAAAATTCTTCTGGCTAAACAGCATTCTGGCCAGCCATTACAGTGCTGATCAGGGGGTGGGGAGCAAGTAATAACTACAACACATGCACATCCATAGTAGAACTGCAAGGGACAACAAAAAATGCCATTTTGTTTTCTAAATTGGAAGATAGAGACAGGATAACTACCTACCTGATTTTTACACCTACTAATAAAAAGTAGGAGTCTCATAATTCAGTGCAGAGAAAATAGTTATTTTCTCTTCAGCCCTCTCTGCTGGAGGGGAGGGATTGAGTGGTGTGAGGAGGGTATGTTCAGCTCTACCTTTAAGTCCCTTTAAACCCATTTCCACAGTGCATTACTGGTTTGGGGGGGGTGGTGGTGAAGGGTGAGAGGGGTGGTGTGTTTGTTTTTTAAAGAAAATAAGATATTATCAAGCATTAATTTTCAAGTATCTGGAAAAATGGCATTCCCTTTCAGTAACACATCAATCCAATGTATTCAATTCAGTACAATGTATTGCAATTCACTAAGTGCAATTAAGTTCACTACCTTAGCTGAACAAATCGCCCTAGAAACAAGAGAGGAGCAGAAGACTCCCAAAGGTGGTGTACGCTGTTTATTCGGAGCCCAATCCTACTAATCCAGATGAGAAATACCATTAAGTGTCTTCTATTTTGAGAAGTCATTTTCACCACAGGTAAAAGGATATTTTCAATGTGTTCCCAGAGCAACAGTGACATCCAGTGGAAGCATATCCAAGGTAAGCTCCCCGGGAAGGTTGGGTAGAGTACACCATGCCAGGTTGGAGGACTCATTAAAAACCAAGAGCTAACCTCATTTCTCCCTGTGATGTACAAAATAGCATTGACAGAGCACAGCTCTCCAAGCACACACACATTTCTCTGGACTGGAAAAGCATCCCCTCTTCAAGGCAACACTGGAATTTCTGGAGCAATCACATTCTTCCAGACTCACTCCACATCTACTGTCCAGACCAGCAAAGGGTAACAACTAGACATACACTACAAGTTTAATTAG